GCATCGTTAACAATAATTGTCCTTCAGCTTTAACAGCATGCATCGTTAACAATAATTGTCCTTCAGCTTTAACAGCATGCATCGTTAACAATAATTGTCCTTCAGCTTTAACAGCATGCATCATTAACAATAATAGTCCTTCAGCTTTAACAGTATGCATCATTCACGATAATAGTCCTTTAGCTTTAACAGCATGCATCGTTAACAAAAATTGACCTTCAGCTTTAACAGCATGAATCGTTAACAATAATTGTCCTTCAGCTTTAATAGCATGCATCATTAACAATAATTGTCCTTCAGTTTTAACAGCATGCATCGTTACCAATAATTGTCCTTCAACTTTAACATTATGCATCGTTAACAATAATTGTCCTTCAGCTTTAACAGCATGCATCGTTAACAATAATTGTCTTCAGCTTTAACAGCATGCATCGTTAACAATAATTGTCCTTCAGCTTTAACAGCATGCATCGTTAACAATAATTGTCCTTCAGCTTTAACAGCATGCATCATTAACAATAATAGTCCTTCAGCTTTAACAGCATGCATTCATTATTAACACCAATAGTTTTCCTATTTCCCTATACTTATTCAATAGATAATGCTGCTTCTGTATATAATGTTTCATGGTTTTTATAAAATATTGTAAACTAATAAGAAAGCTGATGAAATGTCCTAAAATTTTATTGTGGAAGAACATTAACTGCAAAATCTACACTTGATTAGAATGAAATTGCATTGATACTCCATTTTTGATTGCAGGCTGAATTTTGTCATTTTTACCTTCTTTGCAGAAGTACGGCATAATGCGTCTAACAAAGAAAAACCTAATTATTGAGACCCGTGCCTAACAAGAACAAACCTAACCATTGAGATCTGTGTCTAACAAGAACAAAACTAACTATTGAGAACCGTGCCTAACAAGAACAAACCTAACTATTGAGACCTGTGTCTAACAAGAACAAACCTAATTATTGAGACTCATGTCTAATGAAGATAAACCTAGCTACTGAGACCTGTGCCTAACAAGAACAAACCTAACTATTGAGACCTGTGTCTAACAAGAACAAACCTAATTATTGAGACTCATGTCTAATGAAGATAAACCTAGCTACTGAGACCTGTGTCTAACAAGAAAAAAACTAACTACTGAGACCTGTGTCTAATAAGAACAAACCTAACTATTGAGACTCATGTCTAATAAAGATAAAACTAGCTACTGAGACCTGTGTCTAAGAAGGACAAACATAACTATTGAGACCCATGTCTAAGAAGGACAAACATAACTATTGAGACCCATGTTTAACAAGGACAAACATATCTATTGAGACCTGTAACTAACAAGGACAAACCTAACTGTTGAGACCAGTGTCTAACAACGACAAACTTAACTACTGAGACCAATGTCTAACAAGGACAAATGTAGCTACTGAGATCCATGTCTAACAAGAAAAAACTTAACTACTGACACCTGTGTCTAATGAGGACAAACCTAACTATTGAGACCCATATCTAACAAGGACAAATGTAGCTACTGAGATCCATGTCTAACAAGAAAAAACTTAACTACTGACACCTGTGTCTAATGAGAACAAACCTAACTATTGAGACTCATGTCTAACAAGGACAAATCTAACTATTGAGACCTGTGTCTAACAAGAACAAACCTAACTATTGAGACTCATGTCTAATGAAGATAAACCTAGCTACTGAGACCCGTATCTAACAAAGATAAACCTAATTATTGAGACCCATATCTAACGAGGAAAATCCTAACTTTTATTACAACTAGCAGTGAAATGTTAACAGAAAATCTTGATATTTTCAATTCTACCTTTTATAGCTTGTTGCTGGTACTGCCTTATATCATCCACAGTCAAGTCCCTCGTTTCATCGGTCTCTTCCACTCCCCAAGCTGTTTCTGCTGTCTGACTAAACTCCCCTCCTAATAATGCAGTTCTATTGAAACAACAATAGCGTACAGTTTGATAATAAAGTGTCATTAATAGCTATGTGTAAAACAACTCTGCAAGGCTAAGCATTTATGATGAATTGTAATAAATGAAAAGCAAATACATCAAACGTATTGTTTAATTTTTTATTCATTTAACATTTCAATTCATACCTTTAACTTGTTTGTTTTACAGCAAAGTCATATTGAGCTGTGTACATTGTAAACCATGGACAATTAATAACTGGATTTCAGTATGATAAGTCCGTAGTCTTACCACTGTCCCATCAGGGACTTGTACCTTTAACTTGTTTGTTTTACAGCAAAGTCATATTGGGCTGTGTACATTGTAAACCGTGGAGAATTAATAACTGGATTTCAGTGTGGTAAGTCCATAGTCTTACCAATGTCCCATCAGGGACTTGTACCTTTAACAGTTCCTAACCAACTTAATACCAAACTAATTCAAAATATTATATCAAAACCTTAATTTGTAGAGCTTAATTTACAGCTTGTTATATGTTATATAACCACCAAGACATAACCATTAACAACAACCACACTTATTACAAATCTCAAAACATTTCATTAGATAACCACCAAGACATAACCATTAACAACAATCACTTATTCTGAAACTCACAACATATGTTAGATAACCACAAAAATATATAACCATTCACAACAACCACACTTATTACAAATCTCAAAACATTTCATTAGATAACCATCAAGACATATAACCATTAACAACAATCACTTATTCCAAAACATTTCATTATATAACCATCAAGACATAACCATTAACAACAATCACTTATTCCAAAACACAAAACATTTCATTATATAACCACCAAGCCATATAACCATTAACAACAATCACTTATTCTGAAACTCACAACATATGTTAGATAACCACAAAAATATATAACCATTCACAACAACCACACTTATTACAAATCTCAAAACATTTCATTAGATAACCATCAAGACATAACCATTAACAACAATCACTTATTCTGAAACTCACAACATATGTTAGATAACCACAAAAATATATAATCATTAACAACAATCACACTTACTAAAAAATTCATAACATTTTGTTACATAACCACCAAGACATATATATCACCATTAACAACAATCACACTTATTAAAAAACTCATAACATTTTGTAACATAACCACCAAGATATATATATATCACCATTAACAACAATCACACTTATTAAAAAACTCATAACATTTTGTAACATAACCACCAAGATATATATATATCACCATTAACAACAATCACACTTATTCCAAAACTCTGCAAACATTAATGCTTCTGACATTGGAATGAGCTCTAAAACTGAGTCTGTAAAGTCCTCTTATAATCATTCACACACACCTTTCTAATTACACATTAAAACTGAGTCTGTAAAGTCCTCTTATAATCATTCACACCTTTCTAATTACACATTAAAACTGAGTCTGTAAAGTCCTCTTATAATCATTCACACCTTTCTAATTACACATTAAAACTGAGTCTGTAAAGTCCTCTTATAATCATTCACACCTTTCTAATTACACATAAGCCATATCAACAAAATTTTCATTTTTCTAATACTCTATTAAAGACTTACTTATATTAGAAAATGAACAAAGAATTTAATTAGACAAAAGAGTAACATTGGTAATAAAAATACTGATTTGGTTTGCTATGCTAAAGAAAATCTTAGGTGTCTATAATAAAAATCGTAGAAATAATAAAATAACATATGAAATACTTAATCAAAACATCAATTTTATTAACTAATGATTTGATTAAGTATTTCCTATGAAAGTTTTTATTTCTAACCCTAAATTTGCAACTTAACTAGACACAGATCAAAACACATGGCCAAAACAACTTGCTGCAGGATACAGTGTGTTATTAACAGGAGTGATAATTTAGCAATTTTCCACCTTCTGTATCTCAGACTGTGGTAACCCAAACTATCCCATATTTTCAGTGTATGTGCTCTACTGGACTCTTACCTCACATACCAAATTTCAAGGCAATCCATTAAGAAATACCCGAGATATAATGTCTCTAATTATAATTTAGTTTCTTCCTTTTTTTTTCTTTGCATCAAAGTATGGAAAGTTAATATTTTCCAAAACTGAAAATGTATTTCCAATCATACTTACATTGCCTGCCAGGGTTTCTTCCTTTGTCCATCTAAGCATTGGTCAGATTATTTTCTCACTTGCTTCAGTCTTTTATACCCCCACTTAATTGCCCTTTAGAATTATTGTCTCATGACACCTTCCACCTGTTTCAATGCTTCCTCTATCTTGGTACTGTATAAAAGCACATAATGTTATCACTTTTTTAAGACTGACTCAATCTGCAGTCTCTAACACCAGCTCTTAGTGGGGAGGAAGGGCAGGAGAGTGTAAAAGGAGGTAAGTATTATTGTAAATACATTTCGTTTTAAGAAAATGTTACCTTCCAAACATACATACATTCTCTCCCACTTGTAGCTAGAATCTCACATTGTTCAGGTGGAAGGGCTGGTGATGGCATTATCCATACAGAGATCATCTGCATAGATCATGGGTGTACCAAGATAAAATGTTTACCCAACTGCACTACATCCAGAACAGGTATGCTCTTTACCCTGGACTTAATTTCTATATCATGGGTGGATTTGTACATGAGTGATCATCACTACAGGCCAGCCCCAAAGATGGGACAACTCTGTGTTTGGAATTATGAGGAGATAGTGGACCTCCTTCCATGAACAATGTACTGAACCAATACTGATCAAAAAGAAGGGCCATGCTTAACCCAACTGGATAGCAGAGCATCAAATCTGAACTGTATTGCGAGTAGGCTCCCACATAGGCTGGTTCCACTCCTACCAACATCCAGGAACCCAGGTAGAAGGGCCCCTAACTTTGTCATCTTCTCTGAGAGTGGTGGAATTCACTCAAACACTCTGGAAGAAAAGACTCTGTCCACCACCACTGGAAATCAGATGTGGTAGAGACTCCCTAGTTCCACTAGTGGAATCTGGGGGGGGGGGGGGTAATGCACATTGGTGAGTCCTGAGGAACAGTATAATAGGTGAACCATGTTCCCTAAATTTTTAAAAGCAAACCGAACCCGATTTATTAAATATGATGATTGGCAGGGACGAGCAGAATCCCTTTATGCTTTACGCATAACAGTCCATGAGTGGCAGTCCAGCATAGTACTGTAAGACCACCTGGTCAGCTCCTAAGTATTCTTATGGAACACCTCATTTCTACAGAGTCTGTAGCAACATTCGCCACAAAGTGGGATCCAGTGAAAATTGGGTAAAGGACCCTGAAAGATAAAGAAGAAACAAGTGTAGCAATGAGAATACTCAGCCCTCGGTATAACCTAACAGAAGTGGTTAAGATAGCTACAGAGGGTAGTCGAACACCTTCAGATGAAGATACTGCCAGATAATGTGAGATAAGAGTATTGGGGGAGATCCACATACCAGCCCACACAATGTCCTCCAGCAGGCAATTCAACTGGGCTGCTAAGGACATAGAAATGTGACTAATCTGATTAGACATGACTCGTGGAAGATTCATGGCCTTCAAAGAGAGCCCACAATATGCACAGAATTCCAAGAAACAACAGACAGAAAACAGCAAACAGAAAAAAATTCTTCAGAGGAAAAAAGCTGTTGTTTATTTGATCTTGAAAACGGTTATTCACATGTTAACATTAATTCATCGTACCATTGGTGTACCTGGTCTCTTGATACTCTTAATCAAATATTTTTAATTAGTACTGAAATACAGAAGTTTCTGGTCAAATTTATACAGAAAATAGCAGTTGAGTTTTGTTAAAGAAAGTTTATGTTTTGTCATTATTGTCTGTAGAGAAAGTTTATGTTTTGTCATTATTGTTTGTAGAGAAAGTTTATGGTTTGCCATTATTGTCTATAGAGAAACTTTAGGGTTTGTCATTATTGTTTATAGAGAAAGTTTAGGGTTTGCCATTATTGTCTGCAAAGAAAGTTTAGGGTTTGTCATTATTGTCTGTAGAGAAAGTTTAGGGTTTGTCATTATTGTTTGTAAAGAAAGTTTAGGGTTTACCATTATTGTCTGCAAAGAAAGTTTATTGTCTGCAAAGAAAGTTTAGGGTTTACCATTATTGTCTGCAAAGAAAGTTTAGGGTTTACCATTACTGTCTGCAAAGAAAGTTTAGAGTTTGTCATTATTGTCTGTAGAGAAAGTTTATGGTTTGTCATTATTGTCTGTAGAGAAAGTTTAGGGTTTGTCATTATTGTCTGTAGAGAAAGTTTAGGGTTTGTCATTATTGTCTGTAAAGAAAGTTTA